GATTTTGCAAATACTATGCTATATGTAATACCTAACTGTACCTGTAGTGTATATGTAATATATTTATGCCCAATAAATGTTTTAATTCTTTCTGACTTATGTAGGGTTTTTCTGCCATTAATAGGATTGATGATGATGTCACTTTTTTTTAAACTTTTGGTAATCACTTTTTTTTTTTAGTTAATGAAAGCTTACAGAGACTTGGGATTTCCAGTCCTTCATTGTTGCAACTTTTTAAAATCTTAACTGCATTCCAAGAGTTGTGAATGTGATGTTGTACATTAATTCTTTGCATGGTGTTTGTGTGATGCCATGTAAAGGGGCGGCCACAGCCTGGTTCCTCTGTAAGTCTGTAATGAATTCCCTGGTGCAGCCCTACGTGCTAGTACTTCAAAAGAAGCTTAAAATCCAACTTTTTATGTAAAAATCTCCTGTTTGTCTAAATTTTTTTTGAAAACTCTGTGAATCAACTATAATGTGACTACATAGGCCCATTGGCTGCCAGTTTAGTACCTTTCAGAGAGAATGTGTGTGGAGAGCCTACTGCTTTGCCTAACATTTCATTGATATAACAGAACTCAGGTGTCCACCCCCACAGTCCACCTAGTGCACTGGGTGCCCACTCATTTGGTCTCATTCAACAGCAGTAAGCATAATATTTCTACTTAGAGCCATAGTTTATCTTGTTTGTTGTTGTTAGGTGTTGTTGAGTCATTCGCGACTCATAGTGACCTTATGTACAACAGCCCTGAAACCTGCTCTGTCCTGTGCCAACTATACTGTCTCAGACACACCTACTCTCATTACACCAGTCACTGAATCAATCCATCTCATCGATGGTCTCCCTCTCTTTCTCTGTTCCTCCACCCTCCCAAGTATGACGTCTTTCTCCAAGGACTGGTCCCTCCTTGAAACGTGGACAATCTATGTCAGACAAAGCCTCAAAATCTCTGCCTCCAAGGAGCAGGCTGCCTTCACCCTCTTTAGGATGAACCTGTTTGTTCTCCTGACAGTCCATGGTGTATGCAGTACTCTTCTCCAGCACCACAGCTCAAAGGCATCAGTTCTCTTTCTGTCATCCCCAGTCACAGTCCAGCTTTCTGATGCACAGCAAGCAATTGTGAAGACTATGGCCTAGATCAGACACACCTTAGTCTCCAAACTGACATTGTTGCTCTTCAGTACACTGGAGAGGTTCTTGGCTGTTAGTATGAAGAGTGTTGACTGTGGAGTCAAGCAAACTAATGATGTGAACAATCTCAATCTCTTCACCATCCATCATGATGCTGCCAATTGGTCCAGTGGTGAGAATCTTTGTTTTCTTGATGTTGAGCCTTAATCCCTATTGTGTCTGAACTTCTGCAGCAAGCACTTCAGGTCCTCCTCAGTTTCAGGGTTGTGTCATCTGCATAACGCAGGTTGTTGATGAATCTTACACTAATCCTGAGGCCACATCCCTTCTCATACAGCCCAGCCTCCCGGATGTTCTGTTCTGCATATAGATTGAAAAGGTATGGAGACGGAATACATCCCTGGCATATGCCCTTCCCACTTATGAACCATGCAGTGTTTCCTTGCTCTGTTCTGACAGCTGCCTCCTGGTCCAAGCATAGGTTTCTCATAAGCATAATCAAATGTTCTGGGATTTCCATTCTTCTCAGAGTCAGCCACAGCTTATTGTGATCCACACAATCAAAAGCCTTTGCATAGTCAGTGAAGCACAGATAGACATTCTTCTAGTACTCTGTTTTCAGCCAAGGTCCATCTAACAGTAACTATATTATCCCTAGTACCACGGCCTCTTCTAAACTCAGCCTGTACATCTGGCAGTTCTCTGTTGATGTGCTGCTCCAGTAATTTTTAATTTCCAGCAGAATCTTGCGTCTATGTGATATTAATGATATTGTTTGATAATTAGGTCTGGTATTTTTCTGCTAGGAATCACTTTTACCTTAAGGTGTTTTTTTGTTTGTTTATTTGTGGACTGAGGAAAATATTGTTTATAACTCCAAGTTGACATAACAAAGAATGGTAGTTCTTCTTATCAATAAAGCTAACACATTGAGCATGTCAGGTTGTGCATGGTCAAAGGATTTCTAAGTCACAGTTCCCCTCAAGTTG